TTGTCCATTGCCAACAAAGCTGCGCAAAAATTACCCCTGAATGGACGACCTGGACACATATGTCCAATGGTCCAATGGTCCAATGAAAAAGTCATTGGACATTGTCCATTGCCAACTCTGCTGCCCAGTGATTGACCATTTTTTATCTGATGACAAAATTTTCAGCTGCTGCAAGGCGAAAATTTGGTCCATATTCTAAACCCTGATTTTACAGTAATGGCGTGGCAATAAAGTCAAGTAATGTCAATTTACTTTTAGGAGAGTTAATATTTGATCTGGTCATACTTTAGGTCGATCTATTGGATGACGTGAGATACAATTCCTTGGAAGTAATGTTGAAAAAAAATTCCAAGATGCATCTTCAAGGTTTGAATATTTTTACCAACTTTTGATAATTTACCAAGAATTTTTATAAATCACAAATTAATTATTCACAAAGATTCTGAAAACAAAAATCAAATCTACAATGATTAGTTATCTGATTTAATTATTGTAAGTTTTCTAATAGTTGCCGAATTATCCAAAATAAATTTACCAACTCTTCTTTAAATGAAAATATTTATCAGATATGCATCATTTACATTTCGAACAATTGTCACGGAATGATAAAAGTAATTGGTTTTCACAAAAACTAGCAATTCACTAAACCAACAAGCATTGTTATAATATGTGTTTTAGGATCAAACGAACCTGAAAATGAGATGTAACCATAATCATATAACAGTTTAAAACACCACAATAGATGGCTGTTCTATGAGAATCTGAGGGTCAATAATACCTGTTTTACCTTTTTTTGTACTGATCCATGTGCAATTACATTCACATGCCTTGTAACTTGTTCTTCAGCAGACGGAAAAAAATATTTAATGTTGAGTTTTGTTTCATTATGTTCTTTAGACCAAAACATAAAACTCCTTTCTAAAAGTTCACTTTTTCACTTTCACAATGTATTTGTCAAAATTTTCTAAATCACACGTATTTAAGGATATTGAGTAATTTAGACCTCCGAAAATAAGATCTACAAATCCTAAACGATTCTGGAATTCGGTTATCAAAAGTTCAGGAACCGTCTGCAACATTGCCTCAGTTGTAGTAGCCTGATCGCGATTTAAAGAATTTTATGAGTATTTCTTTTAAAACGGCTATATCGGTCTTTGAAGATATCAGTGAATTGGCAGATTCTTTAGAGACGGTATCTGTCAGTTGTAGAAATCCATTATCATTTTTACAATTTCTTTGAACTTTTCGGTTAAAGTAGGATTTGGAGGTGGATTTCTTTTCTTCGCATTTGTTCTGTTCATGATATCTATATTCTCCCTGCTGATTTATTCATATCCACCACACCTTTGCTCCGTAATTTGCATCATTAGACTTCATAAAAAGCGAAAAACGATTCTGTTAAAATCGGAATGTACACACAGACAATTCCAACATGCATGTTTTAAAGTTTCTTTGTTGTCGTAAAGTAAGGTACCAACTCCTTTTCCAGAGTCAGTGGACCTCTCAAAGAAACCTGTGATGGCCAGATGCAGAGAACCACACCCCTATTGCGACTGGTGCGTAGGCAACAAGAGCACAAGAGCCTGGCAAAAATCCCCATCTTTCCTGGCCAGGCCGGATTTTTTTGAAGAGATTGAATATGGATTGAATTTATATTCAATTTCAGGCATTAAAATTAAATCCAAACCCTGGTGACATTAAGTTATTTTGATTTGTTGGTAAAATTTGAAACTAAACAAACGTAAAAAAACCTTTTTTTTTCAGTGTTCTTTTTTGTTTTGTTTTCTTTGACTGTTAGTTAATGGGATATGGTCGTCATCGATTTAAATGCGCTTCTTATTTGACTTTTTTGATTCAGTCACTAGCAAATCAATTTAATTAAAACTGGTCTTGGTTTCATTTTTTGCAGTTTCAAGTGAACCATATGATTTATAATCGATATAATATACTATGTAACAATTTCAAGTAATTTAATAAATTTAATAAATTCAAGCAATGTTAAAAAACCACTTGCGCGCGTTATTATTTGTAACACCAATCACTTTTGTCAACTGAAGGAATTTGAATGTCTGATGTATATATATACTTTGATAACAATAATATGTCATTATACCGAATACTATGTCCTGCAAAAAATATTCCTGAATTTGTATCAAAAATAATAGACGTTGTAGACTACATGTAATAAAACAGCAGATGCCTTATGCTTGACGGGTTATATTAGGTGGTGTTTGGCTTTCCAACGCCAAGGATTGTTAAATTAATGATCCAGCATTGTATGGACTTGCCAATCACTCAAAGGATTATCATTTGAGTCAACTTCGCTTTGGTAAAAATCTATTTCTCTCCTCGTGCCCGTTCTCATGGGGCGAAAAAAATAAGTAATTTTGAAAATTCAAAACCGTCGAATTTCCACAAACCAATGAATGACACTAACTACCCTGTAGTCTATATCTGATTTATCTTGCTGCCACGATGGTACTATGGCGGCACGTTATTATGATGTCCATATAAAAAATTAATTTCCGTTTGAATATATATTTTTTCTTTTATTAACAAAATTCAAAACTAAAAAAAAAAGTGTATAAACCTAATGCTGCTAATCTAAATTTACATGAATCATACAAATAAATAATATAAATATGCATAAATATATATTGTATATACATAGTTAACCTCAATCAACCAACCAACCAAATCCAATAGTAATATACAGTATTATGTACATGTATTTTTTATAGATTTTTCTTAAACTCATCCAACAATTCTTTTAATTTATCTTCTGCAACTTTGTTGCATCTCTCTACCAATAATAACATGGTTTTAATGAATTCAACCATATTTATATATGTTGGATCTTCACCAAGAAGGTCACAAACTGTCCAACTTGCAATTGTTCCTGTAACAAGATTTTGATTTTTTGAAAGCATTTCTCTATGATTGCTATCGTAAATCTAAAATAAAATTTTTAAAGAAAAAATTAGATTTTTTTCTCAGAATATTATTTGCACCAAACGAAACAAATTCAATATACCTCGATGGTATAATAAAATGTTCCATAATCAGTTTTACCCTGAATTTTTTTAGAATTCTTTTGTGGATTAAGAGGTAATATTTCAACACGATTAACTTCAGCTATAAAAGGAAAATGTAAATGGTATTTGTTGACAGTGATATTTTTAACTTGATTGACTTCCAAGAATTCAGGCACATTCTCGAATGTGATTATACGAGTTGATGGACTAATTGATACTTTTTTCATAAATGTATTAAATGGTCTGACATCATGTCGAAGTGCTTTTCTTGTAGAAATACTCATAATAAAATCAGTTTTACTAATAATAATAATAATAATAATAATGTTTATAAATAGATATTCAAGTGTGCATACACGTATATATTATGTATATGACCATATAAATGTTTGCTTACCGATCCAAAACGGACCATTCAACATCTGCTACACGATTCCATTTCATCATAACTTTTTCTAATGAAACATAATTCATATTAATATACATGGTTACGGGAGTATATTCACCGTATAGTGCATTTCTCGCATCTGCATCAATTTCAAAATATTGATTGGTGTAGTATGCTTTATTGTCAAGCACTTTAGTGAATCCATTATAAAAGACTTCTTCGTGCGTGGCACTATTTTTTTTTTTAAAAAATATTTTATTAACAATTTTTGTAATATTTTCCAGGGATAGAAATAAATAAAAAATTGAATGACTTACATCTCGGTGAAACTTGATCGAACACACTTTTCTTTAATAATATCTTTTAATTCATAAAATTCCCAAAGTTTTGATGAAACTTGTGGCGGAACATCGGAAAACAAAACTTTGCCCAATCTTTTTTCAATTAATAATTTATATATTATTATTTTTGAATTCAAATAAAAATTAAATTTCGATTAGTTAATTAATTAATCCAAATCTCAAATTATACCTTCCTGAAAAACGGATTTCGCCTCTAAATGCTCGAACATGCTCCATTCTAAATTTTTATTTATTTATTTAGGGATCAAACTTTTCCATAATTAGTTTATCACTATTTTAAGTATTTAAATCAGTGTCATACCCTTCAATCAATGCATCTTTTGTTCGAACAAAATTATAATCTCTAAGCCTAGTGTCATCATAAAAATCGAAAAAAAAATTCTTCTGTATATATTAATAAATTTACAAATACATAAATATATACATAAATAAATTTGTGTACATTTTTCCAGGCGTAACATTCGATAGATTTAAATGGTGAGTTTGTTCAGGACTTTTCTGCAAATCAATCTTTTTAGTTTTGTAATCCATATCTTCTTTATATGGTTTTTCATCAAAAATATCAGTATGTCTTTTAGATTCTTTTGAAATTTGAAAATTTGTGTCCTGAGTTTTAGTATTCCATAAAATTGGTCCAGAGGAGGAAGAAGTGGAAAGTTGACTTGTAGTATTTGCCTCGGTATATTGAGAGCGTTTTTTTCTCAATTCAGATATAGACTGAATTGATTGTTTATTATAATTATAATAATTATAATAATAATCTCTTCTGGTGGTATTGTCAATAAATTGACTTGTTGATGATGTGTTTGGTAAAGCAGGAAAGTGTGATCGAGAATTTTGTTCAAGGCCAGCATTCCAATGAGATTCTTGTGGCAATGGATTTTGTGACTCACTATAACTTTCATTATTTGCAGGCGATAGTGGTGTTGATCGAATATCATTACTATTTTGAGTAACTATAACTTTATTTTTTCCTTTAAGAGATTCTGACATTGTTGATAATACTGATGGTGGTAATGTTGTCATTGATGAGGTTGATGCTGCTGGAGATGATGGAAAAAAAAATGATGGTGATTGATCATTATTTAACGGAACAGCCGATTTATTGATTGGTGATTGGTGTGAATTTTTTCTAATCACATTACTATTATTATTACTACTATTATTATTACTATTATTTACAATTGTAGAATCAGATTTTTGTGAACTTGGTATTTTATATTTGCCAGTTTTAGGGTCTAGGATAGCATGTATAAGCAAATATACATTTTGATCTGCGTGTGATTTAATAGTCATTTTAAAATATCCATGATTTTTCAACGGAAGGAAATATAGTTTGAAATGAACATCTTGATTTGGATAATGTACAAGTGGAACTCTTTTTGGTCTGAAATCAGACCGAAGCTAATGTATGTATATATTATATTTAAATGTTTATTATTGAAACTCAAAATTATAAAAGTAAGTAAAGTTAAAAATAATTACATAGATTTGTTCCAATGTCCTGAGTCTATGAATAGCCTTTTCGATATCTCGTCTTGTCCCACCTGTAACACGAATTTTCTATTTATAAATAAATAGAAATTGGTTGAATATATATTTTATACTGATTTAAAATATTATTTAAGAAAAGTAAATAAATTACAAACCCTACTATCAAGAAACAAATCTCCAGTCACATTACAATCTTTACAAATATCTTTCCAATAATCAAAAGGAGTATTATTAGCTCCACGATGATGGCAATTTAAAACGTTTGAAGGATCATCAACTCCATTTGAGAAGTAAAAATAGTCCTCCAAACCCCCCACATATTCATCATCATCATCATCCTCATCCTCCTCTTCAAATTTTTTGTTAAAGATTAATGAATGATCGTGATGTGGAAGTGGTGGTGGAAGACCGACAACCAATGGATCTCTATCAAATTTGGAAGGTTTTTTTTCTCGTGGAGGAACTGTGAGAACTATTTTGGCTTCTGATGACTTTATAAAAAGAAGATGATGACGAAGAAAAAGAGATGAGGAGTGATTGAATTGATCTAAACATTGATTTAAATTAATATTATAAATTACTTACTTTAGCCATTAATATTTCGGAAAAATCTTCACGCCTATAGGAGCAATGATGATAATTATATAATTATACAAGTAGATATAATTGTTGTTTAATGATTTATTTAATATCAATAGGATGATACAATAAAACTTACGCCCTCTCCACCGTATCATAATCGATTCCAATTATTTCAAAAGTCTTTTGCCATTCAACAGAAATTTAATTAGCAAGAAATTAATTTAAAGCGAACGAATTGAAAAATGACCAAACAAAATATAATGAATAAGATGACATGAAAAAATTACATTTTTTGCAGAAACATGTTGAATTTTGACTTGATGCCTGTCCTCAACAGCTCTATATAGGGAATAAATATGTTTAATCAAATCATCAATCAGTTTAGACAAAAAACAATAAATATAATGATTATTTACTTTGATAATGTTAGTATTTCTTCAATTTGATACACGGCCCATTCCCAAATGGTATGAAGAGTGTATAAAACTTCATTTATTTTTCCCAATTAAAAGGTGTCGTCAATAATGAATCTGCGAATAAGATTTATCGAAATATTTTTATTTTTACCTTGCTCAGGCATGACCTTTTTTTACAAAAAAAAAAAAAGAATATTTAATATAAGTTAAATTTATATAATTAAGCAAGGGAAATATAATTTTTCTTTAAAGATAAATTTAATGATCACACGACCTTGCTAAGGCAGGCTGCGGATCAAAGGTTTGTTGCACGGCGTGTCTGCATATACTAAATACGCGTAAATCGAAAGTATGTAACACATATTAATATGGACAAGAATGTTTTAGAAGCCTTCTTTAATAAATAAAAAAAAAAAACAAAATGGAAAGAGTAATCAATTATCAAGAGAATTTAAATCTATGCAAAAACACAAATGACCAATCAGAAACAAAATGTTGAACAGTTCAGAGGGTAACCGTTGTAGCGTCTTCAGAGAAACATTTAACGATCCCTTTTCAGAACCCGATCTTATAAAATGTTTTATGTATCATCCTTTCCCGGGTATATATTAAAATATATTGTTTAATTTCACGGAAGCCCTTGCAAAAAGGTTGTGAAGCTTGTGATTTATAAAACTGTTTATTACTTTAAATAAAGTTGATATGTGCGATTCGATTCTCCTACCAAAAGATAATATACAAGTACCCGATACCCTTGTGTCTTTAAATTAATATATTTGTTGGGACTTATTCCAAGATCACATTTACTCTAGTTTATCTAATTTTACTTACTATATACATTGATTTTAGGAACCTAAGCTTTTTATTATTTAATAAAGGGTTGTTTTATACAATCAACAAATATATAAAAGGCTGTGCAAGAGAAAAAAATAGAGGTTGAAACTCCGAACAGTATGGGTTAATCGGAAAACTAAATGACAAAGGGCTGTGTGGTATTATTTACGTTCTTTTATTGGACGGGGGTTCTTTTTGAGAATATATTTTGTCCTGATTTGGAGAGTGCTTGAAAATATTCATATGGTTCAGCAACCTGTTCTTTAATGCTAAGCAATCACAAGCACAGCCTATTTCTAAAAAATCAATGTTCTAAACTCACGAGCGTGAAATTCAAACCCCATATTTAATCAACAATAATTTGTTCATTATCCGTAATAATCCAATAATAATAATAGAAAATAATAAAGAATATGATGATTATTTCTCTCTGTTTTTTTTTGTAATTTTGAACAAATTATTTATTTTACACTTGAACAAAAACTTGGCTTGGTTTATTTGGTTAGTTTGTCCTTTTTAAGTGGTCTGATTAGTTTTGGGATCATCATCCAACAGTACGTAAAATATGTAATTCTTTTAACTCTTTTGAAAGATCATTTTGTTCGACTGGTTAAGATTATCTTTTGTTTAAAGAAAGCCTGAATGATTAATAAAGTTATAAAAAGGAAATAAGATTGCAAATTCAAGAGCAAGTTTTTTAGATAAGGCCAAGGTTCAACTCGAGCCAGCTCAGCTCATCTCGTTTAGAGCTGTAACTCCAATGATTTTATATATGTATATATATATATAAATTAACACCCAGGCAAGACGTTATAATCACATTATTTATATTTGACCAATTTGCTAAATTTGATTATTATGTTTGCATATATTCTCGACTCATAATGAAAGAACCAATTGATGATGCCTTTTCACAAAAAAAAGCCCCAAGTTTTTAAAAACTAAAAGAATTTTGACCAATCTCCCAAATACGAATCTTATGATCTAAAATAATAATTTTATCTTTTAGTTTTCTATTTGGTTTTTTTTTTTTTTTTTTCTCTTTGCAAAATTAAAAATATAAGATCATCAACCTGTATAACCAGCAAACAATGTAACACCATCCGAAGACCAAGCCAACGAAATACAATTTGGTTCTTTTGAGCTTTCACCAGTCTCCATGAAATGAGGTTTTAAATCATCGACAATTGACTTTGTCTCCAAATCCCAAACTCTGATTATAGAGCCAACAGCTGCACACAGCCAATATCGATCTGGACTAAAAGCCAAAGCATTTATAATATTTCCTGCCAATAAAGAGTACAAATGTTTTCCCTCGTTAAGATCCCACAACATCGAGATACCATCTTTACCACCAGATGCACAAAGTGATCCGTCAGGTGATACAGTGACAGTATTGATGTACCCAGAATGTCCATAATGATTTATTTTCAACTTTAATGTATTGAGATCCCATACCTAATTCATTTATAAATAATTAATATTGCACATATATTCTCAAACACACATACACGCACCTTTACACATTTGTCCCAGCCAGATGACACAATTACAGGATTAGCAGGATTTGGAGAAAACCTTACGCACGAAACCCACTCAGTATGACCATTTTCACGGATAGTATATTTACAATCACCAAGTGTGTTCCATAACTTGATGACTTTGTCTCTTGCACCTGAAACAATTTGTCGATTATCGGGCGAGAAAGATACTGACAAAACATCATTCTCGTGCGAGACGAATTGACGAGTAGTTCGCCCAGCATTCAAATCCCACAAACGAAGAGTTTTATCCCATGATGCAGAGAGTGCAAATTGACCATCGGAAGAAATGACAACATCTTGTACAAAATGATTGTGTCCGGTTAAGGCTTTGTGCGGTTTGCCATAAATATCATCTTGTGGCGTCAAACGCCAAATAATAACAGTTTTATCTATGTATATGCATTTCGATAAATAAAAGGGAGGAAGTGATTGATAAATCAAAATTAACTGGTTAATCGATTAATCAAACAAACATACCACGAGAAGCTGATAGAAGCTTGTTAGATTTTTCTGCAGTGGTTGCTAATTTTTTAATTTAATTGATTGGAATTATTATCATTGTTATCGTCGTCGTTATTTTTCGAGTCAATGTGAAAATTTCAAGAGAACAACTAAAATTGCCTACCGATTGCTGTTACCCAATTAGAATGTCCTTGACGAAAATTCAAGAATGAAAATATAATAATATTATTATCATTATTTGAACGTGCGCGATCAATAATATTTTATTTATTTTTTACCTTCAAGTGTTGCGCGAAATGATAATGTCTTGCTCATTTTTAGTATTAGTATTAGTGTATTAGGAATAATTTCTTGAACGAACGATTTCTCAAGAAAAAGAAAAAAAACTTTTTTTTTTTTTTGAAAATTCAAAGCAAAAAATTATTTTATTTCGTAATAAAATAATAATTAGTCAAATAAATAGAAATTATTATTAGTCAAAAAAAAATTGTAACCACAATATTAAGTCATTCGTGCGGCCTTACTGGCGGTGGTTAAGATACCAGATTTTTTAAATCAAACAAACAATCAATGTCAGATATAAACTCATAAAATCAAGTTTTTATTTTATACTAAACTAAGAACATTAATTAGTCTATTAGTGAGTGAATAGTGATGTATTAATTGAATAAAAATATTATTATGAATTAAAAATTATTTTTTCTAATGTAAAATAAATAAAAAATTATTAATTAATCAATAAATTAAAGAAAAACGGTTAAGCTGACAATGAATACTGTGAATGCCAAGATTCCATTTCCTATAGCGTTAACTTTATCGCCACTGCTAGCTTTTGCAGTTGATGTAGGAGTTGGATAAGCAGCATCAGTATCTGAAGGAGGTGGGAGTGGTGATGATGTATCGACACCAGTAGGGATACCAACTGGGGTAGTTACGATTGGAGTATATACATCAGTTGCAGTTGCGCTTGCACTATGTGATGCTGAGATTCCAGTGGGTTCTTTTCCTCCTTTTTTTGGTGTTGCAGTCTCTTGAGTGGTGCTAGTGCTGGTGCTGGTGATGGAGACGGTGGGGGGTGCACAATAGGCTAACACAATAAGGAAGGAGGGGAAGAATGATTGATAAGAAATGAGTATTTTTTTCTTTAAAAGTGAATTGAAACGAATTATTATCATACTTTATATTATATTTAAAAATAAAACTTACCAGTATCAACTATTAAAAGTGCAAGAAACAAACAGACAATGAAAAAGGTTGACTTCATTTTTAAAATATTTCCAAGATTTTCAAATTATTTGTGATTTTTATTCTTTTTATTTGTGTTTTTTATTTTTTTTTATTTTTATTTTTTGGAAAAAAATTCACTTTATTTATAATAGATGGATTATATGTTGATTGATATATGAATTCGTAAATTTAAATTTTTATTCATACAAAAAATTTAAAATTAATTATTTGTATGAAATATAAATTAACATTATTTCGTCATGAATTTTGAATACAAAAAAAAAAAAAATTAAACTCCCGAGCCGATTGTGAAGTGGCCTGGGAACAACATATATAAATTCATTATTAATTACGGGGCCTTTACAATTATGGTATTCATCAAATATCGTCATTCTATCAAATTAATATTTTATATTCTCAGGGAACTAAATAATCTTTCACAAGCCTTCTTCTATGTAAAATCAAAAGGCATTGACAATTTAAGCGATTTTTAAATTTCTATAAATGAGATATATGCGTTTTTAGGAGTAGGTTGTCTTGGTAAATGTGGACTATAGTTATGAAACAATCTTGGTGATTTTTATTTATGAATTTTTAATTAACATTAATCGTGTCTTAACTTTTATTGGCAAAGGTAATTAGTTCTTACGAAAAAATTTAAGAAAATAATAATAATATTATTATTATTATTACTATTACACTTCAAACACTGAGATTCATCAAGTTGTGATTGTTTTCATTGTATTTGAATTACCGACAATTATTTGTATTCAAGACTCATACCAAGATACATTCGATAGAGTCATTTATTTAAATGGACTAATGAAATAATATTTAAGGTGAACTTTGATTGGATAAATGAAAATATCGGACGGTTTTAATACCATATTTTAGTAACGATCTTTGCAATATTTAAAATTCTTGGCAATGACCAAATCATAATTAATAATCAAAATTTCAGTAACCTTAAAAGAAAGATGGCATGTGCGTGATTTACAAATTCAAATTGGCTAATCAGAATTTAAATTCAAATTCACAAGATTTGATTTTAATATTGAAAAAAAGAATCAGTGCGATGATAGAGCTCGTGATTGTCAATTGATTATGGGTACCTGTTTTCTACGAAATTGATACGATTGCTGAATCAATCGTTTTAAATAGTAATAATCGTTGTAGAGAATATTAGAAGGTGAATTGGAAACTAGTATCTTACCAAGGGAAATCGTTAGTATTGATGGTAAATCGTTATCAACTAATCAATAACACTGGAAGAAAAGCTACCTAAAAGTTGAACGGGTTTCTACAAAAAAATAACAAGTGTGTGTAATCCAAGACTCGGATATTCGAATATTAAAAACTGACGTTAATTAGCATAATTTTGTATGTTCGAATATCTGTAATACTTTTTAATAAAAATGTCTTCAGTAAATAATGATGATGATGATGATGCTAATACTAATGAAACAATTTTGAAACTTTGACAAAAAACAAAAGACCTAAAGAAAGTTTTATTTGAAATCATTTTATTGACAATGTAGGTAAATGATTCCTAAATGGATAAACTATTTAATTAATCTATTAGAAATTTACAATTAATAATATTTGAATGCTCGAGTGTTTGAAAGTGTTGTGGATATTCAAAGACGGGAGAGAATAGCCTCGGATTTGCATTAGTGTCAAAACTAAAATAAACCTATGTAATAATAAAATAATAAAATAAAAATTATTAAACAATATCATACAAGAGACTAGTAACAAAACATTTGTGGCTTTCTTGTCAATCAAAAACTTCAATCAAACACTTGTCACCTCGTGGATTGGGTTCATGTCAATTTAAAGATGACGGATAATTAATTCAGTACTGTTTATGCTGGTATACGGATTAAAGGAATCGTTACAAAAAAGTAGATTGTTTAATGGTGCAAAGTTATTGGGAAAAGTAAATATGTATCAAATGCTTGCATGATTCAAATGAACTCGAAAATAGTTTTTTTGAAGAAAGTTTGTTTTTTAAACCAAATAATAGTTATTAGTTATTCGATGATTCTAAATTATCATAAATATGGGAATTTAAAAGATAAAATTTTATTAGATTATTATATATTACATGCACACAATAAGTTTGCGTGGCCATTATTTTAACTGTTAGTAGAATCAGTGCAATAAAATCTGTTAGAATGTTTATATAGTAACATTTTTAGGACATCCACCATTTGTTATAACTCTGACTTGATTTTGAATATATGTAAAGGATTAATACCACCAATATTACCAGGAATGCAAATGTACAACAATTATTTCTACTATAATAATAAGCAATCCCGATAATGGTGCTCATTAGCACATATCATTCATCCATTCATACAAAATATTAGATAAAGGTGTTGTAAGATCAAAGGTATTAAAAAGTAATAGTAGCCATGGTGCTTTAATTGGATCTGTATATCCATTAATAACTATTATTTGTTGATGACATTTAAATATCAGAACTTTTTTATGCAAACCGAAGCTGCTTTCAGTTTCGGCTCGGTTTTCGGTTTGGGCCGAACTTTATTTAGAAGAAATTAATTATGGAATGCGTTAACCAACGCTGCCTGTCAATTTAAAATTTTAATTTCTGATAATAAGAAACAATCATTTTTAATGATTCGTCGTTTAACGCTCTGCGAATTTCATATTGTATATTAAATAAAAGCTATTCTACAAGCTAAAATTAACTCGTTTATACAAATCATGAACTCGGATAATAACTGCGATATGGTTTTGTTGTTTTACGTGATTTTGCGCGTCGTAAACTTCAAAGCCAAAAATAAAAAAACCAGCGAGTCAATCAATAATACATACCAAGTAAAAGTTGTTCTATCCTAGACCTTTGATTTACTTTCTATATTAATATTGAAAATAAAAATGCTCTTGAACGTTTTTTCAATCTCATTATTTTTATAATTATTAAAGCTTCCTAATTAACAGCTTTTCATATTGAAAGCTCTTCTCTACATAAAACCACGGTGTAAAATATTCTAAGCTTTCGTATGGCCATTGCTTTATGGGGAGTGTTGGTTAATAAATTTTAGAGATATTCACCAAAAAATAGTTTTATAAACGCTCTATAATTTTTTTACCCATTCAACAAAAAATTTTTAAATAAAAGAACCAAGCATATTGAAAACAGTACTTGCAATATAATATGCAATATTTACTATTATAAAACCATTGTTATTAATAAATATTCTTTATGTCTTTAGGAATTTAGTAATTTTTTACTATCTCTGACCTCTTTATTCATTTAATTATTTCAATAATATATAATAATATATGTCAATAGAAGAGAGGAAATTTAATGATTATTATTAGCCGTTTACTACCTAAATGGGTACTTTTATTGCTATAACTAGAATGTAACATTGAATGTGTTCTCTAATTTAGAAATCACCCATTCAGATTATAAGCTGGCGACTCCAACTCGAAAGCTTGCTCCAATTGACCATCATCAATGGACCGGTATCATGTCCAACCCTGGTAAATCCCAATGTTACATATGATCGGCAATTTGCAATATCCTTGTTCAAAGTTGATATTAATATTAATATTAATTTAATTTCTTCAATTTTTGTCATCCTTGGCGATAAACATGAACTTCGTCAACCATTCTTAGTACTTTGAATGACAAAAGAAAAAAAAATATAATGCTCATAGCAGGATAAAAGATAATGATAAAGAAAACATTAAATAGTAATAATGACGGCGAATTGGGAGATATAATAATAATAATAATAACAATAATAATAATAGCAATAGTAGTAATAATAATAGCGGCAAGCTTAGTACCATCTGGGATCAACTGAGATTTATTTACAAAGAAAATGAAAAAAACTTAATAAAACAACCGAATTCATAAAAGGCATGTTATTTGTCTAGCAAATTATTTGATAAAAAATTTTATCCAAGTTCTTTGCCAGCTAAGGTTTTTTCCACTGGCTGACATCATTATATACAACTATTGAATAATTGATAAATGTTCATCCGCATATTTACAAAATCTTGTTTGGAAGCTTCGTACATCTTGTCTTTATCACTTCAATCAAACTCGTCCATACAACTAGATAAATGTTCATCAGTAAATTTGCAAAACTTGCTTTGGGAAGCTTCATGCATCTCATCTTCACTACTTACCTTATTTCGCCTATGTAACATTGAATAATTGATAAACGTTCATCAACTATAAATTATGTTTAATAAATATAATAATAATAATAAATACAGGTTATTCATTGTAAAAAACTAAGGTTTGCTATAACACTCCATTCATTCCTCTCATTAATTATGTAGAGGAATCATACTAATGGTTCATTATTTCAAATGTATAGTGAGATCTAATTTTCATATTTGCTTTTTGTAAATGAAATTAAAAAATGAAATCAAGTTTGTGTTCATTAATGATAAAACAAAAGTGAAAAATTTTAACCGTAAAGAAATGACTCGCATTAAACCAGATGCGTCATTATTTGACTCGTTTTGTTTTTTTGACCTATTCAAAGACACAGTTTGGGTGAAGGTTTATTCGTTTATTTGAAAGACTCGTTGCAATATTTCCACGGAATGAAACCGACTCCTAGTCTTTATTATCATCCTCAAAAGACAATGATTCGTTGTTGTCATTTGCTGTTTGTTTCTACTAATGTTATTGTTTAATGTTGCAATAATAATAATGTTTTCTCATAACAACTATTGATGGATGAATTGTTTGCGCTCTTCATATATTAACATGAGTCCTTCTTTGGATTGGGGAATTGGTTGATATATATCAACGTTCATTTTTGTGTTGGTATCTATTGATGTGTTATCAACATCCAGAGACCATTGGTGTTGATGGAGTCTATTGGTGTGATTGGAATATTTTTTCCATTTGGGATGAATCTGTTAGTCGTTGAAATAGCTTAAAGGGTTAGTTGTGACTTTTTGATTTTCCCTGTTTAGACGCTGCATTCCTTCGCTCTTGTTACTTTTGTCAAAGGATCTCCATTTGTATGAATTGAG